AACTAGAGTTAAGCCCATGCACACACACACACAGAGCATTGCATTGTGCGAGGAGGGGAAGGGGTGGTTGAGTTAATGTGCGTGCCGCTCTGGGAAACCCTTATCAAGGACTCACCAACAGTCAGGCAGGTCCAACCCCGACTTGACTTTCTGCAAACATCAGCAAACAAAAGCGGAAGGCCAAGTCCAGCAACTCACTCTTAATATTCTTCTGAGGACAGTGGAACAAAGAGTTTAAAAAACGAAAAATGAGATTTAAAAAACATTTTTTAAAAGTAGTAGAAAACGTAGTAGAAAAGGTAGTAGATAGGGTACTAGAAAAAGTAGTAGAAAATATTGAAAGTCCCCAAAAACTTATTCGTTAAAAACTTCAAACTGAATTTTAGTTTAATATTGAAAATCCTTAAAATATCCTCCCCCCAAAGCGAAGGTCAATGCTTTGTCAATAAATTTCCCTTTGAAGGCGTGCCTTCAGCCCGAAAAAAGGGGAGTAGAAAAATGCAAATGGCATTTGTGCGTGTGTCGCCAGAAATTTCAGTCAATTAAATGAAAATAAATGAATAATTGATAGTTTTCATGGCTCTCTTTGTGCTCCACCTTGAACTAAGCCTTGGTCAAAGGTAATTAGGGGAAGGGAGCAGCAGGCCCAGCCAGTGGAAGAATGTCATTTGAATAATTTAAAACTGTTAGACGCGTCGTTCTCGCCGTTCGATTGCCAGGGACACAGACACACAGAGGACATCATGGGGCAATAGGCGGTGGAGTATGAATTCTATGGTATGGGGGGCGTGGCAGATACTGCTCCTGACCGGAGCCACAATGACGTTAATGACAGTGACGAGCGGTTGTTTGCCTCAGTTCTCGACCAAACATTCAGCGCAAACAAACAAACAAACAAATGCACGCACGTACTACAGGCGACACACACACACACTCGCACTCTCACACACTCGCTCATAAAAAACAATCAAAATGCAAAACGGAACCAGGCAGACGACACTCCATGGGGAAAGTGCCAGTGTGTGTGTCTACACTGGGAAGAATACTAAGCTTAAGAATGGGATAGTTTTTGGGGATAAAAAGAAAAACTAAACTGAGGATTTGAGATATAAAATTTGTTGGTTTTCTGTATTTCAAATATATTTTTAAACTATTTTTTGCTAAAATAAATCTTGCTAATATTCTTCTCATCCCTAAAAGTAGGCAACATAAAGCAAAGACTAAATCAAATTAAATTCCAAGTTGCAATCTAAGCCTATCCAAGTCCAGTTTTCTTTTCCTTAATATACCCACTTTTTCGCTCAGTGCACGTGCGTGAGCCTTGCACCAGGAGGATCAACGACAAACACAAATGGCTCCTGATTGCAGGCAGGAAAGGAAGCAGCAGCAGCAGCAGCAGGAACAGCAACAGGGGAAATGCCTCGTGGAAAGGGGTTGCAAGGGGCTTTCCCTCTGTCTGTCTGGCTATGCGACTAGAATTCAACATTTTGCCGCCATTAAAATCAAATTGCACTTTCGTGCAGCACAGGCAACACAGCCAGGACTACACTAATACTAAGCCCGAATCCGAATCAGGATCAAGAGGAAGTGGGTATATATAAAGGAGGGAGAAGATGGTGAACAGGCGGAGGTCACGAGCCGCGTCAACGTTTTTGGCAATTTCGGCAAAAATATTCCACTCATTCCAGGGACGTTCTGCTTTTTTTATGATTAATAAAAGCAAATGTAAATAGTAGCAAATAAAAGGCAGCTAAACGAAATGAAAGCAAGCGTTGCAGAGGCGGCGGCGACCTTCAGGAAACGAAGGATGGTGCAGGTGGTTGCAGTGTGGGTGGGAAGGTGGTGGTTATAGCTGGTTTGGGAAATCCCTCCCTCCTCTCTCTCTCGTCTCACAAACTTTCGCTTAATTTCTATTAGCATTGCTGTCGCTTCGTTTTCATTGCTGCGGCACGCTCCGCAGGTTGCTGAGGTTACCCAAGGGTTGGATGGTTTTGCAAATGTTGCTGCCAGGCGGGGGTGGCAAAGTGGAAGGGGATGGATGACTGGTGGCCGAGGGAATGCAACTGTCTGCCCGGCTTGATTGTTTGTATTTCTCATGGCACTCGATGTCAGTCAAAATCGCTTCGTTTTCACTCACTCCCAGAACTTCCATTCAAACAGTCAAAGTTCCATAAACTCGAAACCCACAGATGTCACACGATATGGTTTAGTTTTTAAAGGGTTTATTTATATTTAAAGTTTATAAAAAGAAAATAAGTGTTAGAGCTGCAGAGGTTTGCAATTTGGTTGGGCGAATTTTGTGGTAGAAATATAAACGCAAAGCTTGATGCTGAGAGGCCTAATAAAGGGAAGAAAAGGCCAAAAATCCGCTTTAGACTTTACTTTTTGGTATTCTTTAAATTATTATATAAACTTAAACTATATAATATTCATTTTTGATATCTTTAAGTAGAATAGCTTCCAAGTTGCCTTTAAAAATTGCATCCAAAAGATGTCTGCTGCTTCGAGAAAAGTCTGTAAAGTTTAGCCATTAAGCGCTATTGCCACACAATTTAGCATAGAGTTGCAGCGAATTCAACTTAGGGAACTTTGACTGTAAAGCCCTTTCCATTTGTAACCCCCGAAAAAAAGTATGCACCATGCCTCTGCCCCTGCCCATACCCACTAACCAATGAACCCACCCACTTTGTACCGTTGTTTGTTTTACAACGTTTTTAACTTGTTTGCAAGGATTAGGTAAGCAACTCAAACAACGGGAGCGAGAGCCCGCCCAGGACCTCGTCAGGATGCAATGCGAACTCATAAAAATAGACAAAGACAAAACAACAAGGACCTGCCAATTTTCAGCGGGTGAAAATCTGGATGGAAGGGAGGGTTGGGAGGTTGCCATAGACTGATTTCCATTCAGCAACCGTTGCCAACATTAAATGCATCGAATTACATTTTCTATTAACCAACTTTAAGGGGAGGGTGGAGCTTTGGCCGTGGGGGGTTGGGAGTTGTTTTGGGATCGTGTGGCTACTTTGTGTGTGTGTGGGTGGGTGGTTAAGGGGGGGTCCTGCCGTTTTGTACCAGCAGCCCTGAGCGAATGTTGCTCGTTTGTTGGCTGCTTGTTTTACAATTCGCTTTTTTAACGCTTTCGCGCTGTGATTCCTTCGTCCTGCCAGCGGGTCCCTGACATTGTTGTGCGGCGCCTTGAACCTTTTGCAGTCCTTGGTCCTCTTGGCATAGCTCCTCCCTTCCTTCATCCCCATGCTAGCTCAACCAACAACACCCCCCTGCTAACCCGTCTTGATTGCACAAGTTTTTGTACTGCGCTTTGGCTAAGAAGCCGCTGGCTGCACGCCGTTTAGACCTGCTGCTCCTTCTCCTTTTTGGCTTTAAGTTATGAAAACTTTTGTCGTTGTTTTTCCTGCCCGCCTTTTCTTTCCTGTTACTCCGCCTGCCCTTACTTCAGCTTTGCCTCTCTTCTGTTGAGGTTTTTCCACGTATTTGGTTCCTCTTTAAGCGCACATTAATCAAAGTTTTTCGTTGGGCTTAGTCGAAGTTTGAGGGCATTTATAAGGCAATTGTGGAGCTCGTTTCTTTGGCCACGACAGGTGTGTGTGGGTGCCGGCTTCTTGGCCCGTTTCTTAGACGGCTGCATTGGACATTGAAGCCATATGGCATTAGGGCAAAACATTCAGAAGAACGCTAGGAAAAATGAAGGCTTTGAAGGCTTTGGGAAAGATAATAGCAGGGTTTTTGAGTAAATATTTTCAAGAGATGTTCGGAAACATAAAAGGTGGCAGAAATATCAACTTCCTGTATGAAACTCTTCTTAAATGTAAGAAAGTTTCCTATTAAAGGTTTTTATCTTAATAAATATTCTGTAAAAGTAGGGCAACGCATCAGAATTCGTAGAAAATTTCCTTTAATAATTTGTTTTCAATATTTCTTCCTAAATAAACCCAGTCTTTTGCCACAGTGCAGCCTTGGCCTAACCTGTCAAACAAAAGTCTCCAAAAATTCCTTAAAACTTTCTCGATCCCCCTCTCCATAACTGACCACAGTTCTGGTCACCTACCCCCCTCTCCTGGTAGCTGCTATTTATGTTCTTAGCAAGTCAAATATTTAGCAGGAGACGGGAGGTGGAAGAAAGTAAGCTACAAGACATTCGAAAGAGCCTGACTGTCTGAAGGTTACCGCACACTCACACAATGCCTAATTGTCTTTGGGCTCGACTCTGTCTGGCCGTCTGCTTCTGGCTCCTCCCGCACTTTTGCCGCTTTCCTGGTTTCCCGCTTTTCACCGACCCGAACCGCACCCGCCCCCCTTAGGGCCTGTCTGAGTGACTTATGTCTGGCTTTAGAGAACTTTTTGCAGCATACAATGTTGCATTGCAAATTGAAACACGCGACGCAGCGCGATGCGGAGCATTGGAACAAAAAAAAAAAAAAAAAAAAAATAAAATAAAAGAAGAAGAGAATTTCCCAGACACACATACATATACAACTACAGGCATATGCATAAATAATAATGCACGAGCATACTTTAAGTGCAGGCGTCTGCTAGGCTCAAAGCTCCGATTCTCGGTTCTCAGTTCTCGGTTTTCTGTTATATTCCCGTTGAAGGTTTCCAAACTCATTCCCATTATCAAGCCTCCATCCCAGATCCCCAGTTCCCATCCAGAAAAACCCTTCACTCCGTCTAGCCGTCTGCTCTCGCTTTGGGCTGTCCGGCATGTCCCGGCAGGAGTTGGGACGGTTGGCGTTGTGGGTGGCTGGGCGGCTTGTATGCACTTCAGCTCGAAAGTGTCTGCTGCATTTACCCTTGAAAATGTTGCCGCTGCAGACTCCGTTGCACGTTGCACATTGCCCGTTGCAAATGAGTTCAATACACTTGGCATAAACACAAACATTACTGGGAAATCCACTCATCGTCCAAGGGACATTTCCCATTGCGCCTGCGTCACATTTTTTCCCAACTAATAATGCTCTCGTAATTTTCCGCTCTTTCAGGCTTTTCACGAACCCAAAAGCCGAAGACATTGGCTTGTGACACGACGAGCGTTAAACCAAAAAACGAGCGTGTTTATTTAACACACTTCCTCGTTGGGAAAGCCTTCAGTTCGTGTCTGCTTGTCGCGAAGTGCGCGCCACAGTGAAGAGGGAAAGCGGAAACGGAAACGAGTACGTCGCTGGCGTTAACGGAAACGGAAGCGTAGGAACATGTGTGTGTAACAGGACGATCTACGATCGCCGAAAAATAATATTTCAATTAAAAGTTTGCCATTAAAAAGCCGCTCAATGTCAAGTAAAAGATTGCTCAATCAGTGAACTCAGTGACTTGGTCGAAAAAAAGTGAACTTCTTTCTAAAAAAATATCACAGAAAATACTTTATCGCGGACTTTTAGCCAGGCCAAAAGGCAGGCAGGCAGCATGTGTGCCACGGGGAATGGGAACCACAGGTTATGCAGCCTCAGTGCTCTGCTCCTCGTCCTGGTCGCTCAAACTATCCACGTGGAATACGCCCGGGCGGATTATGAGAACACCTGGAATTTATATTACGAGCCGCCCTGCTGCACGGGCTCATCTGCCGGCCATCATCTGCGCCACCACAAAGGTAAGTTCTAAGAGTTAGTCAGCTCCTCCGTATTCCTATTCCTATTTCCTCCCATACACATCGTTCGCTTCCTTCGTTGAGGTAAGTAAGTGGCCAAGGAGTCCCGACTAATTTGCGGCAGGATTAGGGAGGGTTTATAAAGCAACTAAATTCAGTTTCAGACTAGGAAATGCACTGAGAGATTGTTTTGGTTTGTCTTTACGAAGCTATTTTATTTGGTTTTAAGTCTGACTACGATTATGATAAAAATAATAAGTTCTTAAAAGTTTTTTCTTAGATTTTTCTTTACTAGTTTTTTAAGTTTTTCGGATTCCTTAACTTGTCACCAACATTTGACTATTTAACTGAAAGTTTTTTGAAATGGCTTTTCCTTTCCTTTGTAGATTTTTTTGAAATTATATTAATTACATTTTCCCAAAAAGTTACCTTAAGTAAAAGAAATAATTGGTTTTCTTATTAAGTTTGTTAGAAAAACTTTCTCAGAAAAGCTAAGCTTTAATATTTTAATATCAAGGTTAGTCCATAAAAGTTTCTTACTAACTTTTTAAGAAATTAAAGAAAATATTTATGAAATTTTAATACATAGAAAAACCCCTAGCCAAAAGGCAATAAGTTTTACTTCCTAGAAATATTTCTCCTTAAATATTTTCCCTTAAAAGCTTAACAAAAACAAATTTTACCCAAAATCCATGAAAAATCTTTAAAAACTTCTTTCCTAGCCTTCTAAATGAAATATTTTTTGTAGTGCCTTGGGCATGAGAAAATGCGAAATACAAATAGAATGGCTTAAACGTTTTCCTCACTTTGTTCGGCCTCGAATTCCCGGCCTGCTAAGCTCCGGCATACAAAACTATTCACAACAATGTTCAGAGGGCTGGCTGGGATCGAAGTTTTTGGGAAATAAGTCAACAGCTTACACAGCCGCGAATGCCAAGAAGCTCGAAAAATACATACATATATATGGGGGGTTTTCCCTTTTTATGGCCAAAAGGAATAATTTTCACTTTAAGCGGATTTGCTGTCACCCGCCCCGTGCCGCCTACAACTTATTCCTTGCCTTTCCTTGATTTGCCATTTCGGTCCACTTCCGTCGGCGACGTCTGTTATCCTTTTTCACCCACACCCCCCTCCAGACTCTCTCTCTGGCCATTTGGCACCCAGAACTCGTTCGCAGCATTGCTATTGTTTTGCCATTGTTTTATTTCATCGGCAAGACATTTCTCTTCCGCATTGTGTGAACTCGATAGGGGTTTCTTTAGGGGGGGAGTAGCGGGGAGAGTCTTCAGAACTTATAGACTCATTCGCGCGCAGCAGCCTGTGCTTCCTTGTACTTTACTTTTCCGTTAGTACTCGAGCAAAATTAAAAACTTTTGCCCGGCTGCATGGTCTTCGTTTTGTTGTTTGTTCAATGGCAGGACCTCCCTCTCCCCCTCCCCACCTCCTTTCTTGACCATCACTTCCGCCACTTAAGATGTGTTTTATTTTTAACCCGACTGCTCTCCTCTCCTTTATAGTTTTATTTTCCCGTTTTTTTTTCTTCACCCCCAACTATTAGTGTTTAATTAGTTTTCAAGTGGACTTTTTATGGACTCAAAAGCCGAGCTTAGCCCAGGACAGATTCCCCATTTCACTGAGCTGTCGCTGAATAATTAAAACTCATTTCGCATATCGGATGAATGTGAGTAAGTAATCCGCTTTGGCCAACAAAGTGCGGCAAATACTATTCGGTGCGGCGGCCGTAATGGCAAACTTTTTTAAATGCTCATCAGAAATTATGACTAGCAGCAGCAGCGGGGGCCTATTATGTGTGAAAATTCGCCTTTTGTTTTAGCATTTTTATTTACATAAACAATTTGGGTTTACGCAAAAAGATTCTCCTCGCCTTACAATTACTGCAATCTCGGGGGAGGAGGAGGGGTTTGTGAGGATTTCCCAGCCGCAAAAATGTAAACAGAAACGAGTTTTAAGCGCTCAAACTTTTCCGGCGACCCTGAAAGGGAAGGGAGAAAACAAGGATATTTTCAACTTCATAAAGGTTTCGCGAGACGCCAAAGTAAGCAACAAAAAACCAAAAAAAAAAAAAAAAAAAAGGAAAAGGAAAAGAGGGAAAAGAAAGGAGAAAAAAGGAGGCGAAAGCGTTGGGATAGCATATCAGATGTTTGCGTTGTTAATTAAAGAAAAACAAGCAAAAGTTTAATGGCGAATATTAGCGCTCCCCCGCTGAAATGACCCCCAGAAACCTCAATATCCACCTGGCTTTGGTCCAAAGTTGCGGACATTGCGTAAATAGAAACAGCGGGAAAGGGGTGCTAACACACACACAGACACACACACACAGAAAAAACTTTGGCTCCTTATTTCCCTCACGCACGCAAAGCCAAAAAAAAACAAGGCAACAAGGAAAAGCGGGAGAACAGGGTAAACAGGCTGGGGGTGCCGTAAAGCAGGAAAATGAAAACTGCTCACAAATGTTCATTCCTCTCGTAAACTTAAAGAATTTCGAGCATTTAGCGCTGGCAGTCAACAAAAGTTTGTTGTTTCACCCTGCGCTTTCCTTTTTTCCTACATTTTTCTTTCCTTTTTTTTTTTGGCCAAAAAACGAGAAAACTTTTACGTTCGACCAGCAGGTGGAAATACTTCTGAGCTGTGGGCAGCCATCGTCGGCTAAATTAGCCAACCCAGCTCAGCAATTAAGCAGCAATTTTTAGCTGTAAACGCCAAAAGGGGGACTAAAACTTTTTTGGCCAGGATTTCTTGCTAGGCATTTCATAAGTCCATCAGCAAATTCACACAATTGAAGTCAAGTCAAAGGTACAATTGGCCAAAAAGCAAACGAAAAGAACGCACACACATAAGCACAATCGATGTGCCAGTAACAGGGCGTATAAGCAATATGTGGGGGATGATGGCTTTGGGGGCTGAATTTAAGAAAATCAATACATGACTGCGAGCTCCCTTTCATGTGTGAGTGTGTTTCCGCCATAAATAGCAGACCAAGCAGATTCACCTGTATGTGCCCTGTAAGGGGTTTTTGGGCCAAATCCAAATCCAAATCCAAAGCTAAAGCCGACTAAGCCATAATTTACAATCGCATTGACCTGGTTTCTGGCCTACGGATTCATTAGCCAACTGTAACTGCAACTCCAAGTGCCATAATTCAGTTCGCATCGCCGCAAGTACAAATGCTTGTTTGACACAAATACATAGACAGAGAGAGAAAGAGATAGTGAGAGTGTGCGTGTAATTTATCTTAATGCAAAAAGCCGAGGCTATGACCTTCGCCAGGATCCGATGCGGTGGCCCCAGATACAAAGATACCATGATACGTATATAAATAGGAGTTTATTCACTAACACCCACACGACTTGCGGTTCCTTCCTTGCCTACAAACAAAAGCCAGACTTTGTGTGCCATGTGTATCGACACCTCCTATAGCAAGGACGAGAGGCTCCTCGACCGCAAACGAGATGAGACAAGGATATGCCCTTGCCTCATTCGAGGACTTTTCCGGCCAGACCTCCTCACGTTTCAAAGGCAACTCGCATTTCGACTCAAGTTAATGACGACAAATTAATTAAACCAGAAATGTCTGCACCACTAAATTTGATTATAAAAGTTTACGTTTTCCATTCCAATTTCCCTGCCTCCCACTCTCACTCGACCTCTGACTGAGTGTGTGTGTGTGTGTGTGTGTGTGGCTTTTTGCCATAAATTCGTTAACATAATGATGCCATACTTGTGTACACATTAACCACCCCCCGCTATCACCCAAAAAAAAAAAAAAACAGAACACAAAATAATAGGCATTAAAACTTTGGTCTTTCAACTTTTCTTTGGGATCATTCCAAATGACAATAGCAACTTGTTTATAGTTTTGGCTTAACAACTTACGGCAAGCCTATTAAAATTAATTTGATTTTATGTTAATGCCGAGTTTATTCAATTTATTTAAAACACATGTCGCTTGATTTAATTAACTTTACATGACCGCTGCGGCTTTTGTTGCAGGAAGCAGCCGCAGCAGAGGCATCATCAGCACGCATGTTGCTCCCGTAGCTGTTGTTGCAGCTGCAAGTTGTAATGCTGCCGCTGCTGCTGCTGACACATGATGGCGAAACCCCGATGGCCATAACACCAGAACTGACAATATTACGCCGCTATTGTTGTCAGGCGTGTATTTTTAATTAAACACTTTACTTTAAACATTAAAATAATCGAGGGCGAAGCTTAAAAGGAAGGTTATTAATATGATTTTAAAGAAGGTCCAAGCAGCAAAGGTTAAAAGAAAGATAAATTCAGATCAAAATTCTTAAACTAAAGTCCATAAAACTGCAAGTTATGATTTCTAACTTAATTTCTTAATAAACACATTCCATCTTGACCTCGAAAGACCTCAGCGAGCCAAACTACATTTTCTGCACTCATTAGTTATGGCCATTACAAACACACTCGAAAGTTTGGTCCATTCCAGGACATCATAAACATAAATAATCATTAAAAGTAGACATAAATTGCAAACTTTGATCTTCAGGAAGAGCACTTAACGTACCGATACGCACTGTAGATACAGACACAGACACCTCTCGTTGCACTTATTTACACTCGATTTCAATTATCTGCTGCTATTTAGACACACACACAGACCCACCAACCGCAAGGATAACAACAAAGGCAGAGGAAACAATATGAACAACCGAAATATGTTCATTCATTAAGAGAAAGGGGATGATGATGGTGTGTGTGTCCGTCAGAAATAATTCGTAGTAAAATATATTAAAGTTATGGCCTGACCCCCAGAGCACATGTGATGGTGGTGGTTGGTAGGTTGGTCGCTTGACTTCCCCCTTTTTCCTGGGGAATTTCTATATGGCATAGCGTGAAATTGGGGGAATACCCGCTGCACGAATTCGTTTGTGTTGGATTTTTAGAGTGGACACCGAACTATTTTGACCGAAAGCATAAGGCAGGAAAAGTTTGGGTGGGGAAGGAGGAGGAGAAGG